GCAATAATTTCCAGATAAATACAGATAGGGATCTGCTTAGACGAAAAAGAGTTTTCAAAGTTTATTAAGTAAAAAAACTTCTTTTTTTTTCTCAAGCTTTAGTTCATTTAGTTTAACAATCCTGGCAGTATCACACTTTAATGTGAAAGTGACGCAAATCAGTTTTCTTAACATTAATGTTAAAGTTAATCTTTTATTGTTTTGCTTTGTTTGTAATTAAGCACAAAGCTACACAATGGGCTATCTGTGCTCTGCCCACCATGGGTATCTAGCGTTGTAACTCCGCGGACATACCGCTGTGCCACTGGGGGGAGGGGGGGCTAATCTTTTATATTTTTGAAACATCACAAACGTCATTTTAATCAAATTACAATAAAGGATTAGGGCACTCGACTCGCAATCTGAGTGTCGCGGGTTCGAATCCCCGTCCCACCAAACATGCCCGCCCTTTCAGCCGTGGGGACATCATAATGTTACGGTACATCCCACTATTCGTTGGTAAAAGAGTAGCTCAAGAGTTGGCGGTGGGTGGTGATGACTAGCTGCCTTCCCTCTAGTCTTTCACTGCTAAATTAGGGACGGCTAGCGCAGATATCCCTCGTATAGCTTTGCGCGAAATTCAAAACAAACAAATATAATTCAGCGTTTGTTATTGAGTCGGTTAATGTATATCTTAAACAAACAAGAGTAACATACTTTCCATTTTTATCAATGATCAGATATGATGGAATTCGAACTTATATTAATATGCTTACAGTAAAAATACTTTTTGCGAGCTTAGATTATACCTGCAATTTATAATAGCCTTGTAACTGCTAACTGAAAGGTATATGTAGGGATTTGATATGTCTAAAGTAGCGTCATGTACTTAAGTAAACAAATAATTATTAAGATGGTTGAGCAAGTCACGTAACAACTATAACTGTTATAAAGTAGCGGGGAATGGAATGACGTGTATCAAAACTACATTTTTACATTATTTGGCTTTTGTAGGCAGTGTGGTGGCCTCGATAATTGTTCCTCTTAGTTAGAATGTCTAACAGCCCTCACTCAGATCAGGAATTTAGAATTTTCAGACTGAGATATTCCTTGTACTTAATGACATTGGAAAACTTAGGAAAATGGATCAACTTGAGGAATCAGGACCATCCAGGAAGAGACCTGCAACAAGTTGTACTCTAGCCGTAGCAAGTTAAATGCAGCGTCTTGTAACAAGTTAAAGTCCAAAACCACCAAGTAAAATCCGTCCTTCTGACCCAAAAAAATAGTACGTAACATAATCAAGAAAGATCTTTGTCTGGAAAACAATTATAAGTCATGCATACACAAGTTGTGTCCATGACATATCCGTTCAGCCATCACATATCTCAAGCAACTGGAAAATGAAACAATTATTCGTGCTATTCCATATGAAGACGTGCCTTTCAAGTCGCCGGATGCAGAAAATGTAGATTTCTGTGCGATCGAACCATGGAAACTTGCACTAGGAAACCATCGTCTTCCTACACAAGATAGATTATGAAAACAGCAAGGAGGAGAGGGTGTACTTTGAACATGGCAGTCCTTCTTAGGAACTTTTCGCCAAGAGCGTGGTCGACAGATAGAGCATAACCTGACGAGCGACTAAACTGTTATGATGTGGTGAGATTCAAATATCTTTTAATATAACGTATTCATCCACTGTATTTGATACGGAAATGTACCTTGTACCTTCTACCAAAGGTCTTGTTATGAAAGTCAAGATGAATTAACTGAATAAGTGTTTCTTTCCAACTTGTATCTTAGGAATGGCCAAATAATGTTGACTATTTTTGTATAATAATGTATAAAGTATCAGGCACAAATAATGTTGACTATTTTTATATAATAATGTATAAAGTATTAGGCAGAAATAATATTGACTATTTTTATATAATAATGTATAAAGTATCAGACACAAATAATGTTGACTATTTTTATATAATAATGTATAAAGTATCAGGCACAAATAATGTTGACTATTTTTATATAATAATGTATAAAGTATCAGGCACAAATAATGTTGATTATTTTTATATAATAATGTATAAAGTATCAGGCACAAATAATGTTGACTATTTTTATATAATAATGTATAAAGTATCGGGCACAATTGACTATTTTTATATAATAATGTATAAAGTATCAGGCACAACTAAT